CCTACCCTACTATATATATATATATATATATATATATATAAAATGGTAATGCTCTGTGCCTGCCTGGATTGTGAATAATTTCCATGTATAGATTTTAAAGTGGGGTTATTTCGGGAATAGTCCTCCATGTTTTCAATCTTATCAGGGCTGCAGAGATAGTGTACTTAAGTGACAATACGTTGTGATATTTGTCCATTATTGTGACAAAATAGGCAGTAAAATGTTGATGTATGTTTTTTTTATAACTAGACCCTATGTTATAGTTAACAGCACGATTGTATGTTACCATTTCTATTACAACTATGTTTTTCAGGATTTATAGCTGACTCATAAGCACATATTCTCGATTTAAATTGCCATACCAGGAAGCACTTCCTTGCAATTAAGATGTTTTGTGTTTCAATAAAACAGGGAATCAAATACAAGCAAGTTAAGTTTTTTTTGTTTTTGAAGTTTACAAACATATATTGCTGGGCACGAAGCAGTTTTGCATGTGGTCTTTTGATGCACATAATACTGTGGTGCCAGATAATGCAGTGTAATACTTTTAAAATATAAACTTTTCTGAACAAGAGCAGAAGGCTCAGTCTATTGTGTCAAGGATTAAGAGCTCCCTAATGGATTGACACAGCAGAGGAGCCACTCTGGTTTATCATGCCACTGATCTGTAAATAACGGGTCACTGGAAGATTTTTGAATCAGACCATTCAACTTGCAAATGGTGGGTAGGTGTGTCAGAGCTTGGCACACGCCAATGGAACCTGAAGTGCCTGACAGTGTCATCCTACAGTTTCACTTTGGGCAGATTTAACTGCAGATTAAATGAGTTTAAAAAACAGTAGCCATTCAAGCTAATTTTATATGGATGGCAAGATGCTTTACAAAATAGATATCCCTCCCCACAAAGAACAAGCATGAAACAATGTTAAAAGGCATTGTCCTGAACACAAATTCAGTCTTCTCCTGGATTAAATGGGCCAGAGCTTTGTCTAGACCTGTAAATTAATGTTATATCTACATGAATTATGAAAGCAAGGCTTGAGGGATTGTACCTTTTTGCTAATGTAGTATATTTTAGATTATGGGAATCAGATAATTGGTCTGTGCTAACTCCAGCAGTGGCTACAACCCTACTGTTTTAGAGAAAGTTGACAGCTAATCAATTGTGTAGTACTTACAATATATGGGGGAAGAGAATTATCCCTCTAACAATCTTCACCACTAGAAAAATTATTTTGCTATGCAATATGTAAAGGATAAGGAGAAAAGTGTCTTAAATATTTATATGGGCTGGTGGTGTGTTGCATATTTTGATCCTGTGATTCTTTATACTACAATCCTTATGTTCTTTGAGCACTTTACTTTACAAAGATATGGAAATTGTCCTTGGTTTCTAGTGTCCCTCTACCCCAGCATCTATGGCGTGTGAGAATGAATGAGTTAATGGAATTGAGAGACAGTTTCAGTTTTAAGGAGTAACTATGTTTATACTAACGTTTGCAAACTCTGGCAGTTCCTGTCACTTGTGTTCCACTAAATGTTTCTTTAATACTAATTAACATCAATAGATTTTTGGACTCCTTTTTTTATTTGAACTGTGGCATTATTTGCAATGGCAGTGGTACAGACCGGCTCAGGAACCATTGAAACAGATTTGTCTTCAAGTAAAAACTAAAAAATTTTGATTTTATAGCTACATTTTGTGAATGCAAAAAAAAACACTATAAAAATAAATTTACATTTTGTAAATAAAAGCAAATATAGTGCCCTTTGGCTTAACCAAAAGAAAAAAAAACAAGACTATTGGGTGTCAACCAACATTATCCACATTTGACATAAATAGAAAATATAAGTTAGTATAACTCTTTTAAAAAAAGATTTGTACAAATATACATTTTTTTTTGCACTGAGAGATCAGCAAAGATTAAACATTTCATATAAATGACTTTAAAGCTTTACACTTCTGGCCAGTGTACTCACATTAGGCATAATACACTTATATATAAAACGCAATACATTGCACAGTTGTAAATTAACACTGCTCCGTCGTGGCTGTAGTCAGAGCCACTCTCACTCCATGCAGTTCCTTGTGGGGAAGAAGGTGTAGGGATGCTTAGATCTTAATCCTCCTTGCTCCAGATCTCGTGAGAATTGCCCCCTGCCGAAGTGTGGGCAGAACAGCCGCTGGGCTCCGCGCCTCCAGAGACGAAGCAAAATCTCCCTTAGGTGTCATAGTGCAAAATCTGAGGAGAAAAGGCGGGGAGAGGAAAGGGAAGCAGCCATATGAATTTCGTGAACGCGCCCTGAAAGCAACCGCGACTGCTGCTCCCAGCAGACATAGAGCCCCCGGCGGCCACAAAGTAAGTCGGCAGACCCCGCCCCATCTCGGCGAATGAGTCAGCGAAACCAGCTCCTTCCCCGGCCTGATCTCACTCAGCACCTGGGGGGGCTTGCAGAGGGGGTGGGCGGCCCTGGATCACCCCGGGAAGTGGCTTCCGTTGCGTTGGCAGAGCGGGGCAGCAGCCTGGCCGGCCGGCCGGCCCGCCCTCCAATGGGACTCGGCCCCCAGCTCCAGGCGAGAATCAGGGCCCCGCTATTTGTTCGCAGCGCACACGCCCCGCGGGGAGACGTTTAGTGGGTCCCCGCTTCGCGGCGCCAGGCTGGACACTGCCCACCCCCCACCCCAGCCCAGCAGCCGCCCTCCTCCTGCGGCTGGGTTTTGTGACAAGGGGCCCGCTCGGTCTGGTCCCCGGGGAGGGCGCTCACCTGGTTCACCGCAGCCGCTTCCGGGGAGTCTGCTCGGCGGGCACGGCGGGCGCAGAGGCGGGACACCCGCCGGGATGGTCGCAGGCCGCTTTGGCGTCCCCCAGCCTTTTCCGCTTGACAAAGAAATCTAGGGACCAAACCCAGGAGCGAGGCTTTACATACACACACACGCACCGCGGCCGCTACCCCAGCGCCACCTACCCCAGGGGCGGCCCCCGCGGGACGGGGACACGAGCGTGTGGCAGCAGCCGGGACCCGCCCTGCCCAGGCACCCGCACAACAGCGCACACGGGAGACGGCGGGCAGAGGAGGCCTGGCGGCTCTTGACTCCCCCTCTCTGCCTCGGGGGAGGGTTGCAGCTGGGTCGGGTTTGTTTACTTCGCCGGCCTGCAGCGCGCAATGTGCTGTGTAAGCGTTTCCCCGGCCGGGCGCCGCGCCCGGCCCCAGCGAGCTGCGCCGCGAGCCTTTTCGCAGAGCCATCGATGCCCGGGGCCCTTTAAACCCCCGGGGCAGGCGGGGGCATTTAAGCGCCAAGAGCCCCGGGGGTGCGCGCCTGGGGCATGCCCCAGCCCCCATCCTTACCTGTGATGTGGGCTGCGCTGGAGGGCGAGACCCTTTTGAGCGCCGCTGGCGCGCAGGGTACGGGTTTGATTGTAATCCCTGAGTGGTTGTTGAGCTGATCGGATCGGTTCTCCTGGTTGAGCCGCTCTTTACCCCCCGCGATAGTGCTTTCCAAGGCGGCCGTCTTACCCTGGGGGCTGAGGGAGGAGGACGCAGACACCACCAGCTCCTGGTGAGAGTCCCTGGGGTTAACTCCCGCAGGAGTATCCATGTCCCCCAGAGGTGGCTTGGACCTGACCAGCAGCACCGGGAAGCGGCACCTCCCGACCTGCAGTGTCTCCCGGTAGAAAGCGGGCACCGAGCCTCCCTCCACCTCTTCCCACTGCAGCCTGCCCGGGCCGTCCAGCGGGGTGTCGGTCTGGAAGTTGTAGTCCCACCGCCTCTGGTCATCCTCGCTGATCTCCCGTAGTTTGCTTTTCAGCTCCCGGCTCAACTCTTCGTGATCCACCGGGCCAAAGAGATTCCGGCAGACCCCCGTGCGGGCGTGCAAGGGGAAAGTCCTGCGGGCGGCCAAGCGCTCCAGAGCCGAGGCGCTGGAGAGGTGCACGTTGGACATGATGGTCCTGCTGCTGCTTTGCCCAAGGAAGGCAGGGACCCAACGCGGTGCTCCTGGGGAGAAAAGGGCTGTGATTTCCACCCGTCCCCACTCTACGTGCAGGCAACACAACCAGCCTCGAAACCTTTGCAGTCTGCTGGTGAGCCTGGGGCTGCCTCGCTTTTAAAGCCCTCACCAAGTTAGAGCAAAACATCTATTAGCATAATAGTATTTCTCTTTAATAACACTGCTGCCATTGGTGGAGGCTCCGCTGTCCCCTTGGGTGTAATACCTCGATCTCCGCTCCCTATTGGCTGAAGGAGAAACTGTGGCCGGGCGCCAAAAGTGGCAAGATCCCTGCCATTGGTAAGCAGGTCCTGTCAGTCTGAGTTATATAGTGGCGATTGGGAGGGGCGGGGGTTGAGATTTAAAGAGAAGGAGGTTGTGTAACGTGACACCCAGCCTGCAAACAGTTCCCTGCCCCCTTTGTTTGCAGGCAGCGGTGGCTGGTGCTGCTGCTGCTACTGCTGTGTGATTGCCTTTTTTTTTTTTTTTGCCTTTTTTAACATTTAGGAGCCAGTCAAAGAATGGAGTCGCTGGGTTTCCCGGGGGCGGGGGGGGGCTTAGATTTGTTTAATTTGGACTTTTTAAAGAGGCAAATAGGTTTAAAAGAAAAGGGTTTGAAGAAATCTATATGGCAGTATAAGGGACAAGAAGTTATCAGGAAAAACTAGTACAAAACAAAGCTAGATAGATGCAGATTTAAAAACAAGAGAAAGGATGTTTTTTAAAAGGCTTTTTTATAGTCACTTGGAAGTAATAAGTTACTAGATACGTTTTTGCATTACAGAGTAGAAACACTGCATATTAAAACCACAGCTTTTTTGCCTGTCTTAACTTTAAAACCCATATAATACATACATGTTTGTCTGCTGTAGATGAGCTAATCTTACTATTGTGTTGCCAGGAATCAGCTGACTTGTGCTTTACATTTTCTGCCGATCATTGCAATCAATGCTTTTTGTTGTGATGGGGGTGGGGGAGAGAATCTTACAAGGTGCTCCTACCATAATGGGCTTTCTTTAATGCTCCAATCCTCTCCACAGTAACAAACAAGGGAAAAGGTCAACTTTACAGTGGTTTGCAGGTTAGGGAGTTCTCTTCTCACTTCTGCACAATGCTAGTGCCTCGATGAAGCCTGTGCCTCTGACTGGCTCTTTTTTGCTGCTTTCAGAAGAAGAGTGAGGGGGATGAATGTTTAATTGCATGTGAATGTGGTGTTTGTGAAAAGTGTTGATTTGACTGAGCAATGGAGACTTGAAGTCCTGTCTCTATCCAACAAACAGGTACAGAGCAAGAAACAGTCAACTGTTTCCTCTCAACCCTGATAATGGGGAGCATTCTTCTTAATGTGGCAGAAGATGATTCAGTTTCCATGTGCTGTAGACCCAGAGCCGGCTTTAGGAAGTGCGGGGCCCGATTCGAACAGTTTTGACGGAGCCCTGGCAGGGATGACTGGAAAAAAAAACACGTAAAAAACATGTGGGGCTTGTACTCACCGGGCGGCACTCGTAGTCTTCGGCGGTTTGTCCTTCACTCGCTCCGGGTCTTTGGTGGCACTGAAGGACCCGCCGCTGAAGTGCCGCCGAAGACCCGGAGCGCTGCCGGGTGAGTAAAAATTAAAAAGGAGTCTCTAGCCAGGGAAGGGATTCTCGGCCACTTGCCCCCACCCGGGCGGCCCTGCCACTGGGCGTGGGGCCCTCTTAGGCGCGAGGCCCGATTCGGGGGAATTGGTGGAATTGGCCTAAAGCCGGCCCTGTGTAGACCAGTGGTTCCCAAACTAGGGTGTGACTTAGAATCATAGACTATCAGGGTTGGAAGGGACCTCAGGAGGTCATCTAGTCCAACCCCCTACTCAAAGCAGGACCAATCCCCAGCTAAATCATCCCAGCCAGGGCTTTGTCAAGCCTGACCTTAAAAACCTCTAAGGAAGGAGATTCCACCACCTCCCTAGATAACCCATTCCAGTGCTTCACCACCCTCCTAGTGAAAATGTTTTTCCTAATATCCAACCTAAACCTCCCCCACTGCAACTTGAGACCATTACTCCTTGTTCTGTCATCTGGTACCACTGAGAACAGTTTAGATCCATCCTCTTTGGAACCCCCTTTCAGGTAGTTGAAAGACTTGTTCAGGGTAAGCCCCTGGCGGGCCAGGCTGGTTTGTTTACCTGCCGCGTCCGCAGGTTCAACCAATCACAACTTCCAGTGACCCTAGACTCTTACGTAAAGAGAAATATTCAACATCCAAGTCCAGTAAGAGTCACAGATGTGATTCGAGTAGCACGGAGCCTGCCAAGGATGTATGTAATGCTATTCCTCAGGCTGAGGAGTAAAAGGAGGCTAAAGGCAATTTTGACCCCTTGAATTCAGCATTTTCTGATAGCCAAGGGACTGACCCTGCTCAGTGATAAAGATCAGCAGTTGATTAACATAAAGAAGCTAAAACAATTAAAGTCTTCAGACTGAAGACCCCTCATTTCCATGTAGCAACTTTCTTTACGATTTGGTCATGCTTGTAGGTAATGTCAGATGAAGACACAGGCGACTTTTCCAGGATAATATAGGAATCCCACAAAAACATGACCAACTCATGGTACATATGGATCGGTCTTGTAAGGATCACAGGAAGGGTAGGATAGTTCCCAGAAGGCATTCAAAGGTAATTTTTAAAAGATGTCTAAAGATGTTCTGGTCTCGTCAGATATGCTTGAACTCTTAAGTAAACTGGAGTGGAACCAGATAGCAGTAGTATTGGGGAAAATATTACTTCATGGGTTTTTCTCATTGAAAATTGATCCCAAGAATACCATATTCCATTTGGAAGATGGCCTGCAGGCGAAAGAGAAGTTGTTCAGTGAACAGTTCATACAAAGGCTATCTTGGTTCTTTGGAACGAACAGTACACCTCATTAGACAACATGGAAGTGTCAGAAAGGTTTTTGATAGGGAAGGAAGAAGCAGAGGTCGCTCACCAACAAGGCCTTCAGTGGCAACAGATGAACCCAATATTATTTCCCTTTACTTAGCAACTTTTCAGGGGAGCTTCGTGAATGGGTTGATTGAAGCCAATTCAGCCTCAGCCTACAGATGAGCATTATATGGGTATCCTTTTCATAATTAGTCCCCTGGCAAAAGAGGGCAGGATTCATTCTCGCCCCCCCACCCTCCACCCCCCAAGACTTGAGAAAAGACTTATCAGTGATTTATGAGCCCTGCAGACAGTAACCAAACTGGAGATCTGTTTCTCAGAAACCTCTTACCAGAATTTTTCCTTCCAATTAGTTTCACTAAGGCAGAGGCTAGTTTGCTCTATAGCGAGAGAGGGACATTCAGCAGGTGCTGCCTCCATTATAGACCTTTCTCAGCAACCTGTTTCTGCTAGGAAAGAAAACAGGATCATCTGACAGAATTACATATACTGTTGGTGACCTATGTCAAGGGTAAGGGCATCTCTCGAAAGGATTCTTTTCCAAGAAAATTAGATGGTGTGCTTTGTCTAAAAGACATATACCTGGTATTTCTGGTTGAAGTAGGCTCTGAAGTTTTTACAATCCAGCAGAGACAACAAAGGCAAGCAGTTCACTTGCTATAATTCTTTGTAATATTAGCCTTGTGGTGCTTCACACACAAAAAAGAAAAAAATCATAAAAGTGGTGATGGTACTAGCCTGGGGTTGCACAGTGTATTTGCACAGATAACTTACAACACCTCTTATAATTTTCCTTATCTCAGTACTAGAGGATTAGTTACAATTTACAAGCTGTCTCTCCTGATGCATTTCCAAAATGTAGTGTATAGGAATGGGATAGTATCCCTTTAAACAGTTTGTGAGACCTCTAGAGGTCTCTGTGTTCTATATTTTAAAAACCAGCCACAGCAGCACGGTGTATATGTAACTAGACCTTCTGTATATTTAGTAAACATGTTATTTGGAACCCCACTGTGTCTGAATGATTTCTGCATATTACTTTGTGTGAAAAGCAAAAGACAACTCAGGAGTTAACCTTTCTGGGCTTGTCTGTTGATTCCTCCCAAGGACTGCTAAGACTTCTGTCTTCCAAGGAAAGGGGTGTTCGGTGTGAATGGATAAAGTACAGGGAGAAAAATCCCTCTATTTCTTCAGACTAGAGAAGAACGCGAGCAGTGCTGACAACTATATATTCAGACTTGGAACAAGAAGGTGATATTCAAGTCAGTCCAAGACTGGGGGTCTTGGAGGGAAGCCACATAAACGTGCGAGACTACTTAGCAGATTCATTCAAGAGTCCGATGGGAGGGCGCTGTAACTCCATTGTTGTTTTCTGTGCCCACGGTTTAATGCATCTGAAGGAATCAACACACACTGTGCAGACAACCATTCCTGGCATTTAGAAGATCTGGGAATTTCCTCTCAAAACCCAAATTTCAGCCAACATAGAAAACTTTCCAGGGTTTTCTAACACAATAGTGATTTACATGTTACTTCGGGGATGCTGATATTTAGACCCATAGAGGGAAAGTGTATTCATGGATTGCCCAATGTTTGGGCCTGTGGGGGCAGTCTCTTCACCTCCCATCTCACCTGTAAGCTGGAACAATTGTATGGCTGGAGTCCAGATCCAAACGCTCTGGTGATGGATGCACACCTGCAATAAGACAATTACCTTCCCTAACCCCACTCCTCACATCCCTTTGTCATGTTGTCTTGCATTGTGACTCGTGCATTAAAACGTGGGTAATGAGAGTATCCGTGACTTCACTGTGATACTCTCAGCCATGGTACCCAGCTCTGCTGGCACTAACCGTACCCATCCTTATCTTCCTCCAGGAGATGGAGAACATCCTGGCTGACCGGACGTGCCCATGCTTTTCTCATGAATGTAAATGTAGTTTACTGAATTCATAGACTGTAAGGCCAGAAAGCATGATTATGATCATCTAGCCCAGTGATTCTCAAAGAGGGATACACATATCCCTGGGGGTACGCAGAGGTCTTCCTGGAAGTACATCAACTCATCTAGATATTTGCCTAGTTTTACAACAGGCTACATTTAAAAAAAAGCACTAGCGAAGTCGGTACAAACTAAAATTTCATACAAACAATGACTTGTTTATATTGCTCTATATGCTATATTTCAGTGTAAATGTAAGTACAATATTTATATTCCAATTGATTTATTTTATAATTATATGGTAAAAATGAGAAAGTTAGCAATTTTTAAGTAATCGTGTACTCTGACACTTCTGTATTTTATGTCTGATTTTGTAAGCAAGTAGTTTTTAAGTGAGGTGAAACTTGGGGGTATGCAAGACAAATCAGACACC